AACGAATTGTCGTCTTTGGGTCTTCCATTCAGTCTCCTGACCCGGCGAGTTAGTCTGCGTTCAAACTGCAAAACTCGGTCGCTTTACAAGCGAGAAAACAAAGCGAAGCCGCACGGGAAATCTCGCGTCTTCTCTGGACGGATCCGGCGTTCCGTTCGGCGTACTCACTACGCGCCCGAACACTAGTCAATTGACACTTAACGAACATTAACACAATAACATTTAAATGACACCTAACGATAAAGGGATCATGGCGACCCTGATTAAATCGACATAGAACATTAAAGGTTAACACCCTGTTAACACCAAACCAACATCCAACGATGAGGCTCAATCTTCAACCTACACTAAACATTGAGGTTTAATCCCCAACCTACACTTATCATTGAGAATAAACTCCCAATATACACTCATCATTGAGGATTAAGCCCACAACTTACCTAAACCTTAATGGTCAACACTCAATCTGCACCTAAATTTAAGTGTTGACACTTAACTTTGATGACAAACACTAAACTTACGCCTAAATTTGAGTGTTAATTTGAGCGTAAGTTTAGCGTTAACACTCAAATTTGAGTGTTAACCATCAAAGTTGAGTGTACTTTTTCGTAAGGGTAATGCAGCATTTAATTCTGCTTTAATTTACGAGCTTACATCGTCGTAAATAAGCGTTAATCTATTTTTAAATGATGCTTTACATGGCACTTTGTAATTTGGCTTGACTAATTTCATAAAATCGCGAAATCTGGTACTACAGATGAATGAAAGCGGTAGTTGATTCGACACTACCATTTTAATTGAAACTCTGTCAAGGAGCTCAGCTCTTTCTGAACTACATGGCCGTGAGCTAGCGTTAACCTGTCCGTAAGAAGTTCGATGGAGTAACCGACGTTTCTGTTGCGACCGTACAGAGGTTCTGGGTACGCAATCGTTAGATGAAGTATTTTCGGATGTTTGATTATTCAGGGTACATTTATTTGATGACGAGCTTGCAATATAGGGATTGTCTTCTTGGATATAGGATATGTCATCTTGAATTGTGTTGTCAGTATGACTGAAAGGAAAAGAAAGGAGAGGAGAGGGTTATAAAAGATGTTATTCTTTAAGAGGACCGTGCAAAAAATCTCTTACGAAGAAATGCTACAGAAAAGATTACTATATATAATTGCGAAAAAAGTATACAAAACTATAATAAATATTACAATAATTGCTGTAATTTTGTGATTTCTTTTGCAACCGCAGTTGCTTTTTCCATAAGGGACTTGCTACGTTAGTTTATGCCACTTCAGATAAATAAAATTGCATAAATTGCTACCAAATATTTATTTCGAATGTAAAAATATCTACGTTACTGTAAATAATATTTTATAGTAAAATGCTTTCCGAACCTGCGTTTTCTGCTTTCTGCACTGTCTTCGATCATTCCATGAACAACTCGTAAATGTTTATTAATAGACGATGTTGAGCCTTTTGTATAAAGCACTATATCGCAGATTTTGCAGGTTGCTTCTAAACCATCCGCCGAACGTTCGCAATGCCTTCACACCGAACTGCTTAACATGTTGATCTTGCCCTCACAACTTTGCAATACTTTATAGAAGGAAAGGATATTTTATATTATATTCTGCTCAGGACTTAGCGATGCCGTGTAGTCGATAGATGTAAGAAAGTGTTACTTGAATATATAGTAACTGTTTTCGAGATTTTATGACAGCCGAAGACTCGAATAATTGGAATTAACGAATATGTGAATATATATGAATATTTTATTTAGTTTATATAAATGCGAGTGAAAGAAAAATACGGAGAGAATCTTTGTGAAATGTAACCAAATGTATAGTGTAAACGTAATAAAATAAAACTTACGATAATTTCAGACACAAATTCTTAGCAAAAATAATTTACGATTCCCGGCAATCGTCTCAGATTATGTCATGATAGCAGATAAAAGATATCAATTTGTTGATTGTAAAATTTTCTAAACGGATCTAGGTTGCTAGGCGACTTAATTCGGTCGACTTCGCCGCGAACGTAGATTCGGATCCGCGGATCCGGATCCGACGCTTCAAATGTTTGGGTTCGGGTATCTGCGGATCAGCGAATAACCCGAATATTGCGGTTTTGAGATCCGTATCGCAATCGATCTCGGATACCCAGATAGTCATTTATTTGAATACTTAGGAGCTCTAATTTAAATAAAAGGATTTGTTTGTATAAAGTCATTTAAAAGTCATGTTGTTATATATATCGTTAAATTTTTCTTAATGTGGTATTACTAAAAAAATAGCAATAATTAACCCTTAGTCTGTAAACCTAGGTCGTTTTCGTCCGGGCGAAAATCAAGTGTAGTTGTAACTTTTGAAAACGGGTAGAGAAGGCGCCACTGCGCATCCGTAAAAAAAGTTATGCTCCCCGAGAACCCGCCTACCGAGTTTCAAGGCGCCAGTCCCCCTCCGGCCGTCGCAGCAGACACTTGAATTCTTCTCGGATGAAAACGACCCACCTTTACAGTCAACGTTAGTCAAAACCGTAAATAATAGCTTCCTCATAGAGGAAGCTTTGTTTTCGTGAATTTCGTATATGAACCTTCGATTGCGTATAAAGTTGGGTTTAGTAAACCAAATTTAAAAAAATTATATATGAAATAGGGGTAGAAGAAACCAACGAAGAAATTGGTTTTTGAGTTTTTTCTGCCAATATGTTCAGATTGTTGTAAAACGTCGAAATATCGCTTAAAAAAAAATGTCCGTGTGTATGTATGTATGTATGTGTGTATGCTTTTGTTGTCCGTATATGCTCTAACTTCCGCAATTTTTGAGATATAGGGATGTTTTTTTTTTAATCGATAGAGTATCATTCAAGGAAGGTTGGTATTGAATTTGGCGATGATCGGTAAAGGGGTTCTTTTTTAAAAAAATTTTGAATTTTTTTTGAAATGTCCATGATTGCTCTAATTTTCGCAAATTTGGAGATATCAATTTATTTCTAATTTTATTATATTTTTCAGTCTTTTCTACCCCTATTTCATATATAATTTTTTAAGATTTGGTTGATTAGATCCAGCTTTATACGCGATCAAAGGTCCATAATTTTGCTCGCATATAAAGCTAAGTCTAATCAACCGAATTTAAAAGAATTATATATGAAATAGGGGTAGAAAAGACTGAAGTAAAAATTGTTTTTTGAGTTTTCGATGCCAATGTGTTGCCAATCAGAGCCAATCAGAGGGCCGTATTAGCATCTTAAGACATCACTTCCTCTATGAGGAAGCCAAGTGCAAATTTCTAATTTGCACCATTTTTTAACGTAAAATACAGGATGTTTGTACAGGTAATCACAAAATTAGTTGTCTGAGAATTTTTTTTTGTTTTTCCGTTTTAAAGTATTCATTGTGTCCGTAAAAGTGTCACAAAAACATCTGACCGCGAAAAAAAAATTACAAAAATAATTTTGTTTAGTTTTTCTAGGAAATGGCGCAACGGTCGGGCGAAGCTGTTTCTCGAATATTGCGTCCTCGCGAGAAGAAGAATGTTGTGACCCTTAACTATTGACTTCTTATTGATTTAATTACTAATTTTTGAATTATTATATATTTATTACTGTTTTTACTACGAAATTTAGGGCTAATTAAATTGGCAATTTTGAGGTCGCAAACTTAAGCATTTAATTTCAAAATAATTGCATGCAATATTTTTTTTATGAAAGCTACACTCTTCCCCTTCAATTTCTTTTTTTATTTATTTTGATATCTTTATTTGTCTTAAAGTTATGATTTTTTGAGTAAACAAATGATTTGCCCCTAGTTGCTCCATTTTTTTAATACAAATTATGTGAAAAAATTAAATTGTTTATAATTTTATGATTGATACTTTAAATTGAAGGTTTGAATTACCTTCGTAAATTTTTTCAGATTTTTTGTAACACTTTAACACTTAAAAAAACGTCAGGACGAAAACGACCCAGGTTTACAGACTAAAAGATGCCAAAAAAACGTTTACAGACTTAGGGTTAAATATATTGTTATAAATGTTGTTTTGTGTAATAAAATAGTAAAAAAGCTAAATGGCGCGCGCGTAGCGCTCGCTTATAGTGTTCTAGTTCAGTTTAAAAAAGATAAAAGAGAGCGCCAAGTACACGCTTTCCCGTACAAGAAAAGAAGGTAAAAAAATAAACTCGTGGTCGCCACGCGCGTTAGAAGTAAAATTTCTGAAGGCAAGGCTTTGCCATAACTTTTCTGAAATTAATACAAAAACAATGCAACGGAATTGTCACTCCAAGCCGCCCGCAACTCGAAAATATAGTGTTACACGCAGTTCTCACTATATCCGTCTCGCCAGTGCCGTACGCCTGATCGAATTTTTGTGACGCGTTTTCAAGTCGCAAAATCGAATTTACTTACCGATCCAAAAGGAGTTTCACTTTGTACGCCTGTTGGTTGAATTTTCGTGACACTATTTCGTGACGTTTTTTCGCACAATCGAACTTACTACCGTACCAAAGAAGTTTCATTTTGTACGCCTATTGGTCGAATTTTCTTTACACTTTTCGTGTCGCATAATCGAACTTACTACCGTGCCAGAAGAAGAACCGTCTCGCCAACGCCGTACGCCTATTGGTCAAATTTTCGTTACACTTTTCGTGTCGCACAATCGAACTTACTACCGTACCAAAGAAGTTTCACTTCCGTTACACTTTTTCGTGTCGCGAATCGAACTCACTACCGTGCCTAAAGAAGTTTCACTTCAAAAAAGGCGTTAAGTATACACGCAACTCGTCGTAAAATATACACAGGGCGGTCTCGCGTTGCGCGTGTACTTGACGGCTTGACGCGAGACACTACCGTGTCTCTTGATAATAATTATTTTTTGAAATTTTAATTTTATTTTATTTAGAGACTTTACGCATGTAACATAATCGAAAAATTTATTACGTATATTGTATTATATGTATACATAGAAGTCATAGTTTTATACATGTGCATAGAAATATGATAATCGCAATTTATATTTGAAACATTTAACGTTAGCATGTCTTGTTTTTCTAACGTAATTATTCCTCCTTTAATAATTTATTGTTATTTGAGGCATTATCTATGCTGTTATATCTATAAGCGTAACATTATTTTTCTCGCAGATGAATCCAATTAATAAGATAAATATAGAGCATCTTAATAAGAACTTAATAAGATAAATAAAACAGTAGCGTTACACGGATGTAAAAAATGACCATAAAGGGTAATTCCGTCTTTTTATCTGAAGTACTATAGAAATTACATTGAGAAAAATAACGCCTCGTTCGAATATTCATTTCTATGATTTTTTACATAGTTTTACGTAGTACTAGTATATATCACAGCTCCTGATGCAGGAATTTTTAAGGCACGAACATCTTTGATAATATTCCTATAAAGAAAAAATTGAAACATGAGCACACACACATTTGAGATAAGGAGATAATGACATATAATACGCCTCTTACGCTTCAATACCATAACATGTATTTTATTTTATAACGCGCGTAATTAGCGTGGGTACAACTCCACAATTAGGGCCTATACGAGAAATCAATTAGGAAAAGGTAAATTTTTATTATGTATTCTTGCCCCCTGAATCCACAACTGTTGATTAAAGTTGTGGGTCGTTGCATATTACAAAGTTATTAACAAAGAAAATATAATGAATAATAGTATGTAATTCTATGATACCGTATATACGACCGTGGTTCCGCCCCTTTGCGGGCGGCTTCACCTTCAAAAAACTAACCTAACTCAACCTAATTGTTGTGTAGGTGGATCACACGGTAAATATTTAGTATTAGGAGCCAGTTCCAATTCCCTTAATTATGATTATTTTGAAATATGTTATCAAAGATATGACTGTAACTTTTCGTTATAACTTAATCGACGGTTATTGCTTATTTAAAAGTTATAAACAAAAAAAGTTTGAAAAATACGAATTTGTGTCAATACTAAGGGAAATAATTTGCTGATATATATATGAGTGTATAAACAGTACACATATAAGCGGGAAAGAGGTTACCGCCCCTAATTGATGACATATTTCAGAATTATGAAAATTGAGGGTTTTTTAATACTAAATATTTACCGCATTTTTTCTCATTTTCATGACGATATCTTAGGAAATATAAGCAATCTTCAAATTTTAGATTCAGGGGGCAGGAATACATAAAATTTACCCCTTCCCAATTGATTTCTCGTATAGACCCTAATTGTGGAGCTTTACCTTAGCGTGCCATATGCGAAGAAAAAAATATGCTTACCCAATAAGATGATGAGCATTCGTAGTGGCATAATAAACGTTTAATTGATTTGATACGTGAACAAGCGTTGATAAATCAACACTTTTCTCTTTATCTGCAAAGTTTACCACTACGTAAACCGATTGCTGCCCATTAGCTTTCCTGTAATAACAAGCACATTATGATTTTATTATTGACGTTAATCACTTTCAAGCGCTACGTTATCTCGCCAGGAAAATTAAATGTTAAAAATATATAGATACTAGCAATAATGAAAAGATCAAATAACTATATTTTTAAATATACATATGATAAAACGCGTTTAAATAATATTACTAAAGAATAACTGCATGCATTTTTGTTATATTTTATATACAATATATAGGGTGTCTTATATAAAACTACCGCACTTTCTCTTAATGGCAGATTTCTTGGAACATTTCAAGACAAAAATTTTAATACAAAAATGTCGAGGCTATAATAATATATATGTAGGTATATATCCTACCTGGTAAAAGCGAGAACATCGTCGTTCAATAATTTCGTGGTTAAGGTTCCACGTTTAACAGCAGGCCATTTTCGTAGAGCAGAAACCGCTTTATATAGAGCGTAGTAGGAGTTGTTCTGTTTCTTTTGCGCAGCTAAATTAAGTGTCACGTAGTTTTTGTTAATTGGTAGCCACGTTTTTGGATTTGTAGAAAATCCTAAAAAATTATAATTAAAATAAATTTAATATTTCTTATCAAACAAGTCGTATAATTATATAATATCGCTTTCACATAATTATACTTTCAATATTGCGGTATATGATGGTTTCGATGATGGCGATATTATAGTTTTAATAGAACATAATGCCTTTTCAATACTACAAATGACAAAAACTGACAGCGACAGAATGTTGTAATACGATCGATGAGCAACCTGTTTTATCTACATAGTTTTTCACCCACTATTTTTGTAATCTCAAAATGTGACGCATGACCTGATAAGCACGTCGTGTTGATTCTTAATATGTGGGCCATGACACGAGACTGACATTGAAATGGCGTACTATATGTTTGATGTGAATCAGTTTTTATAGTGTGACTAGTTATACACTGAGAACGAAACATTAGTTAACTAAACATTAGTTGTTTCAACAATTATTAAGTCGCACTAAAAAGATATAATGCATTCATGTCGACCTTTAAAATTTTTTAAACAAAAATTAATTAATTTAAATAATATTTAGTTAAATTTACT